ATTTAAATATGCATACAATAGGTAATAAAATATCTATAAATGTCCAATGATAAACCTAAAATAGCTTAATGTCTAGAGTATTACAGGAAAAGGTGAAATAGACACATACAAGATCTATTAACTCAACTTAATGTAAGAAAGAAGGAAGAAAAGAAACACAAAGGAAGGTGTGAGGAAAGGAGGGGAGTAAAAGCAATCTACATCTTTACAAAGCTACTGAAAGGAAAAAAAAAAACAAAAATGAGAATAACATTTCAGTTGTTGAAAATTCCCTACCACACAAAAATTAGTTGAATGGACATCTACACCATGGAATATATGTGGCTGTAGATGAGACCAATCTTATGACTTCCAGAATATTCTGGATTTTTGTTTGTTTTGGTCTATTCATAATTTTCTTTATTTCAATTTTTGATTTTATTATTTTTATTGACATAAAGTTGTTTTACCACACACTGTGTATGATTTAGAGGTATAGTTTTGTACCTCTTCAGATGTGTTATCACACCACACCCACCACCAAAGCAACCATAATCCTCCAAATATGAATATTCTGTTAAATAAAAAAAGCAAAGTGTACAGAGTATATGCAATATTCTACTTTTATACAAGGAACAAGGTGATACCAGAATGTAAATATGTACCTGAACGTTTCTCTCAAAACAAACACAAAAGGACACAGAAGAAACCAGTGCCTTCTCTTTTCTCCTGTGAGAGCTGGGAGAACACAGTAGGAAGAACGTGGACTGACACTTCTCCGAATATAACTTTGGTATAACTTTGAATTATAGAAACATATTATTGTTTTTTATATACGAAAGTATAACCAAATAAGCAAGGAAGAGTAAATGCCTAAATCTAAATTTAAATCAAATTAATCATGGAAGTGTATTAACAACAACAAAAGTATCTAAATATATACCAACTTTTGAGCATAGTTCTTGACAAGCTACCCACATCTTACAGACAGAGATAACTGCAAAGAAATCCTAATTTCTCTTAATTGATAGGTTGCTGGTAGTGGTACAGGTGTAATAACTTTTAACTATTCAGTGTATATTGTAGAAATGAGAACATTAATATAGAGTTGGGTAAGATGGAAGCAGAGTGAAGACACTGGTCTTCTTCTCTAAATACTCACAACTAAATTGCAGTAGAACAAATTCAAAAACAAAACAAAACAAAAAACAAGGGAAAAACGGACAACTGCAGCACACATTGGGAGCAATGGCTCAGCACATAGGCGTAGGAAGAGCTGTGCTTGGACTCTGTTTATAATAATACTGGACAGTACAGCCCACAAGAAGGAGGAGAGCTGCTGTCAGAGCCTCCCCCGGTCGTAGACTTGGGCACTCACTAACATCGGGGATACCTGAGACCTATAATTGTCCTGGAGAAGGGGGTGCAGAGAGTGGGCACCCAGAACAGAGGGTGTACTGTGGGAGAGCTGCTGCATTGGGGTGCAGAGACAGGATTACTGGCTTGAATCTGTGTCACCTCATAGAAAAGGCCACTATGGAAGCTGAGACTTGGATATTCTAAACCCCTGCCACCCCACCCGAGGGCTAAAACCGAAACAGCAAAGCAACACTTGAATAAACAAGAGCATTAATGCATGCATTGATATTTGGGGGCATTGGAGTTCTTATTGTATCAGAAAATGACAAAATTGTAGAGGTAAGAGAAAACTGCTATATTAAATTAAAATTAGAAGTATCAGTATGAAATAATGACTTAAGAGAAAAAAAAAATTCCTCTATGTCTTAACCCTGACCTCTAAAAGAGTTTAGTAGTAATGGCAACCCAGTGAGAACAAGCACACCCAATGAGAACAAGCACACCACATCATTTTTTTCCAAAGTGATCTTCTGCAGTGAAAGATGTCAAAGATCTTTGGGAAAATGTCTGATGCGGACACTGTAATGGTGAAAGCACAAAATGTGTCTACAAATACTGTTGTGTCAGAAAATAGGGAAAAACGTAACTGGTTCCCCCAAGTGACATGGGATCCAGATTGACTGGCTTGCACTGGCCAAACTGGGGAGATCTTTGCATAAAATGAATGACAGTAGTAGGTTAAGAACATTTCAAAATCTAAATATTTAATAATATTGCAAAACAAATCTTTAGAATGCCAACTATTGAAAGGAACAGTCTAGTCAGAAAATCATTTTGTAAGCATTTTGTGTGAGCAAGGCTACATTCCTTTGGGAGGTTCATTGAGAAATCTGTTCCTCTGTTGTTTCTAGACTTTAGAGGCCACACGCATACCTTGGCTCACGGTACCCTATTTCTTTAGAGACAATGCGACATCATCTTCAAATCTCTTTCCAAGGCTTAGCCTCCTGCCTTTAATCACCAAGAATCTTGGTGATTAAATTGGTCACATTCATATGATTTGGATAATTTCCCATTTCAAAATCTTTAAATTTACCAAATCTGCAAAGTCCAGTTTGCCATGTGAGTTAATAGATTCACAGTTGTTGGGAACTAATATGTGGATATTTGGGGGATGCCATCATTCTTCCTACCCCAAAGGGTATGTGGGGATTCATTACAGTGTTTTTGTGACTTTTCTGTAAGTCAGAAATGTCTTTAGAATAAAACTTATATTAAAAAGTATACTAAAAAATAAAAAGTATACAATTTAGACAAATTGAAAATGTTTTAAGACCTAGATTCTAGATGACATTATGTTTGCATTGAACTATTAGGATGTGATAAAAATGTATGAGTGAAAGACTTCCAACAGGAAATTATAAACTTAATTTATAAGCTTAAAATTTCTGTTTATCATCTATCAATTTATCTCTCATTTATCAATCTATTAATCATTTACAATCTCCCAGTACTAGCATTTAATTTTCCTAATGATTAATATAAAAGAATCAGTTTCTATTGAAAAACATTTTTCCCTTACATATCAGTCATATTTAGAAAGATGTTTCATATCCCAAAGTTCCATCAGTATGTATTAATATATATTTTTCTTAGTCCTTAAAAATTTTTCATATACAATCATACAGAAATTTTTTCTTCTCCAAATGGTTAACCACTTTTCCTAATATAATTTTGCAGGTAATTTATATTTTATCTTGAACTGTAATAGCTTTTTTTATTAAATATTAAGTAACTCAACACTATTTTATAATAGTGGTGTCTTGTCTGATTATGTGAGACCATAATTTGGTGTGGTCAGTGTCTGGTGTTTGTGAGGCACTTAGATCTCTGGGTGACACAATCACTTAGAAATCAAAGTGTTTTTGCTAAAGATGATGAATCATGTCTGGGTTAGGTGCTGATGTTTAGCACTAAGATAGAAAGATGAAGGGTTTTTTTTTTTTTTTGATAGACCTAAAAACCAATTTAAAAATTCATGTGGTGTACTGCAGAAAGACTCATAAAATTGACATTCCTAATTCATTATACAGAGTTTCTGAGTCATATTTTAAAACTCAGTTATAATATGACAGTAGAAAGTTTCATCAAATATTGGGACCCCACAATATGTGACCTGCATCTCAAGCAAGTAATCTGAAAACTGGCTTTTACACTGAAGACATTACAAATTAACAGAAATAATTGTTTGTATACTGATGATTTTCCATGGAAATAATTTTGGTTGAAAAAAGAAAAATAAAGAAGATGGGAGGAAGAGAGAGAGGAAAATGATTTGCCAAATACTTTTTAGGGCCATTATAGTACCTATAGCACCATGTAGGATTTTGGGACCACATAACTCAATGTAAATATTTGCTTCATTTAATGTTTGCTTGCTTCTAATTTTATTGGAGCCAAGAAATGTCAAACATCTGATCAAGGTTTCTCAACTCCAAGAAGGACACCAAAGCTGAAGGATAAACTTTCGCAAGAATCGGGTGGATCTCCCCAAGATGTTCAGGCAGGACTCCCCAGGATGTCCAGAATAGAACAGGGTTTTCTAACATGTCACCTTAACATGTGAATTATTTAAAGCTAAGATCAGCCGGGCCCTGTAAACCTCAAAAGAAACTTTTCACCACTCTCTTAACCACCTAGAAGAATGAGAATTAACTAGAGATAGGATCATCACCAGAAATAACCTTTCTATCAGAGAAATCTAACCATATGACAGGCAAATGGCTATTACAAAGCATCTGGGGCCAAGACAATACCCTGAGTCACAACATGTCTTATTGTTATAGCATTTCACACACCATCATGGATAAAAGCATGTTGCTCAAGAGTTGCTTTGTTAATTCCATATAAACTCATCAAGTACCCTAATTTGTAACATTTTGAATGAGGACATGCCTGTTTTTGAAATTTAAATAAGATCTTTTTTCTCTGCATTTATGAAACAAATACATGAATCAATAACCCCAATATGGATAAGTAAAATAATTTTGATTACTTATGTTTTATTTTAAAAACCTGTACAGGTGACAAAAGTTTATCATACGCATTGTCAAATGCTTTATTTATAAACTCATCTTTTTTACCAAACCCAGTGACAAAAATCCAGCATCATTTATTCCTCTAATGTAGACATTAGTTTTGCATGGAAAAAGCCACTAACGTGACAATAAATCCCTTTTTTTCTAGAGCCATTCTGTTTTGTCCCTGTTGTCCCAGCATAATTATTAATAGCTCCTCCTTTGACTCTCAAAGTGTGCTGATTCGTGATAAAAAATTATATAGTCACCCAACTTATGACCCATTCCTTTGCTTTTAAGCTAGGAGAATTTTCCAAAATGACATCAAGATAGATTGCAAAAAGAAGTTCTTTTCCAGACTTTTGTAATAGTTGTTCATAGTTGCACAGGAGAGAGAGAAGGTAATTGAACTTGTTTATTCCCCAGAGCAGCAAGATTGTTCTTGCTGACAAGACAAAACCTTTGCTTGCTTTACTATCCTTAATCACAGCTTTTCCAAAAGTAAAGTTAACCTCTAGAAATTAATTCAAAATCATTTGACCATTTAAAAAAGGCACTTTTATTAATAGAGTAAATAAGTCTTACCTTTAGAATTTCATCAACATGCATGCCAGTGCCTTTGCCTCTGACAAAAAAATAAGAACAACAACAAAAAACCACTGAGTTTTATTCAACATTAAACCATGAATGAATCCCAAGACCTTTTTGTAATAAGTTCTTCCAAAGTTTTTGGTTTATTTCCTTACTTCCAGAAGAACTGATCCAGATCAGAGGTTTTCAAATGTTGGTCTGCAAGTCACAGCTGGTCAGTAGGAAATTCTCATCAGTCTGTGACACAAGACCAATAAATAATAATTTAGATTTTTTCTGAAGTTAAATTAATCTTAATATATTTTTCCCACAGACTATATGCTTACTATATTTTGTTATGGAAATAGTATGAGGTAGTTAATAAAATTTTAAATTAGTTTGATCCTATTAATTGGTGAATTTTAGTAAACCTATCTGTGTTTCATGTGCTGACCCAAAGGAAAACTGCAAAATGGTAAAGTTATGCTTCTTTGGTAGACTTGGTATAAAATGATGTTTACTACCTCCTCAAATAGTTATACTTGAATATATCTATTCGCATTCACTCCAGTTATCCTCCATGCTAACTGAATGCAAAAAGGAAAATATGAGAATGTTAGGTCCAAGTGAATAGGCTTTTAGTATTCCATAGACTTAGTTCTGCATTAGGATTTCTAGAAATTCAGTTACTCAAAATGGTAACAAAAATGCATTGTCTCTGCTTAAACTTTATTTTACATTAGAGGCAAAGTTTCAGAAAGAAGGTAGCAGTGTGTTTTTCCATTGGGGAAGTCATTTCTTGACGTGAGTGCCCAGGTATGCTCTTTAAACTCAAAACAAAATTTCGTATGATGTGCTTTCTTTTATCCTGTTGATTGTTCTTATATGACAGTTGGAATAAACAGCAGCACGACAGGGGGCCATCACACCAGCTTTAAAGAAAAAGATGAGAGACCCAGAGAACCAGAGTAAAAAAGGAGTAAAGCTTTTTATAGCACTAGAGGAAACCACTTCAGTACTCAGGCTGGCATAGAAGTCTTTTAAAGTATGAAAAGACAGACTATCAGTCTACTGATAGTAAATTTTCATGTATAAATTTGGGGGAAAATGGCCAGTAGTAATAAAAATTTTTATGTTATGAACATTATCATCAAATCTACTTAAATTATTGAAACTAATTACAATTCCAGCAGTAGCCATTTAGAACAGAGAAAATAATGTTATAAAATGATGGGGGATCATCCCTTATCTGAGAAGAAATGCTGGCAAACAAAACAAGCTGTGTAAATACTAAAATATGTGTGATGTCAAAGCAATTTTACTTAGTATACTATGAATTTTTGATAATTCAACATTTACTGGCACCCACTCGACACAGGGTGTGAAGTAAGTGACAACTGATCCAGGCAAGCTTCTCAAGGTAATTAGTGTCTGGTGACAAAAAGCAGCAGTGAGCCATGTAAGATCTCTATTAAGATAAGGCAATTGCTTGTGGATCCTAAGGGGGTAAGTGGTTAGATTATGTCTTCATGGAGAGCAGTTATTCTTTAAAGAAAACTTTTTATGAAAGTGTGATGTGAGTTGTTATGAAGAAATACTTGGATAGAATATCTTTGGCCAGAGGAAAGCTATCAAAAGGAAAAAAAAATGAAGTAAATTCATCGAGTTGGTTGGGAGAGTAACTGACAGGAAAATATAAGGGAAGTAGCTCAGATTGAGTGATTAATGCTAACCCATACTACTCTTTTGAAAGGGGCAAGTTTGTAAAAGCAAAAAAAAAAAAAAAAAAAAAAAAATCTCTGAAAACAGAATTGTATGCTGTGGACAGCAAATGCTTCCAAACTTTCCCATCTGTGATTCATTCCCAAGTTGTGGCCAATGTTCAGTGTCTTTAAGGTATTTCAATGCCTTTGTGACTCCATATACTATGTCTCATATCCACACACATATGAATTCATTATATTCTGATTTGTACCTCAAAGATACCTAACAACATAATATTGGTAGTTATATTTTCTTGACTTTTATCAGGTGTCTTTTAACAGTTACTTAGTATTCTTTCTTATAGATATAATCTGTCAACCTACACCCCACTGATAATAGTCAAGACAACATGTAAAAGATTTTCAGAACTGATAAATATACTGGGGTAAAGACTAGAGAAGAATCTGTGTGAGACTTTTCTAATTAACTCATAAACACTTTGGAGGATCACATAAATTCAAAGAGTTTGATGCTCCAAGTCCTTTCATTTTGGGGTAGTGTAGAAATCAGATTTTTTTTCATATTTAGTCTCTATAAAACTTATACTTATGGATAAAATAGAAACCATTACAAGTGCATAAGGAGAATACAATAAATGGAGACTAGAAGTCACTTGTCTTAAATTGGAATACTAGTTGTAGTAAAGATCTCTATTATCCTTTGTTCATTTATTTTAAACAAAATGCTAATGAGAATCATCAGTTCTCCCCAGTATAGTTGCAGGTTGGGAAATAAAAGTTTTCTAATCATCTAAACACATTTATTTTTCTTCATTTCTATGATCCATTTTCCTATAAAATTAGGATCCAACTTAAGTTTTTAAATTTGCTTTCAATTCAATCCCAAAGGATAATCAATAAGAACTCATGAAATAAGTTAAGACACATATATACAAAATATATAATACAACCACTAAAGTTGATTAAATCAATCTACAATGCTATAAAAAGATATTAAGAAAGCAAGATATATTGTATATATATCATTTGCTTTAAAAAAAGATCCAACAACATATGCTTTTTCATGTTCATTTTCTGAAGCATACTCAAGAAATGACTGATAATATTTATCTCTGGAAAGTGCACCTAGGGAGTATACGGGGGTGTACATGCTTGGGTGAAACTTGAACAGTTGGAAACAAAAATAGGAGAGCTGGGCAGGTCCATTTCCTCCTAGTTTTCTCTTTGTTGAACTAAGAGACTTCCTGGAAATCCTCCCATGGAGACCTGTAGTGTTGAGTGAACTTGCTTCCTGACTGTGGATGTCTTTATAACTGATTCTTAAGTGCTAGTGGCTGCAGTAACATATTGTGTCACCTTGTTCCACCCTTGTTCCTTCACTTGGCTTCACCTATGCTCTCTCCTCAGGCTTGTTCCTCCCAAGTAGTATCAACATTTTAATATCTACCTCACGTTCTGCTTCTAACTCAGAAATCATGGGCTAAACACAATTCATACGTGGGATGTTTCTAAAAGATCAGACTCAAGATGCGGTTAGGGAGGCTGCTGCTTACCTCTGAAGCATCCCTTGTGGATGGGAAGGGGGTGACAATAACTCATGATGCAGTTGCAGTGCAATTGCTTTCACCTCTGCTTAATTGAGGAAAAGCACAAATGGGGGCACGTGGAGAGAGATCAAATGGTCATGACAGTTAATTAACATGGGGACAGTTATGAGAAGTGCAAAATAAGCTGAACACCTTTGGTGCCAATCAAGAAATTACAAATGAAGAATGACAGGCTTAGGACATTCTCCAACTTGAAATAGTTAAACTGAAAACCAGAGGATTTCTGATATTTTACGTGGCCTCTTACTTCTGACAGCTTCTGGCTGACTGCCAAAAATCTGGCCAAGAGTCTAATTATAAGGGAGACAATGCAAAGAAGCTTAACTGTGCAGACATAGCAGATCTCCTGTGTCAGCCCATAGTTATCATAGGGACAGAAGTGGATCTCATAGTTTGGGATGAACACATTTAGGAAGACACAACTGTGCATCTTGAGCACCCAAAATCATCAGCTCCACCTTTAACCAGAAGTGCCCCCCTCTCACTGTTTAAGCCTTTTTCTCCAATTTAACATTTAGAGCCAAGTCACAACACTGTCCAGATGGGTAATTACAAGTCCAAGTCTAGGAAGAAATTACCTGCAAGGAATCACAGGACCTGATGCAGATGTATTAGTACAAAACTCTGAGCTATGTGCAGAGGCATTAGAGACAAAGAAGAAATACATTCACAAAATAAAATTATATATTTTATAGCATTAATTTCCTTGGGGTAGGATTATACTTCTTTTATCTTCTCTCTCACACACACACACACATACACACACACAAATTACTCTAAATGATAATCTGTGTATCAAATTTTATAACTGATTTTCTTTCTTTGCTATCTTTGCAATAAAAAGCAACAAGGGGAGTGGCTTTTCTAGAAAGTGATACATTTGGGTAATATGTTTTATAACATTTACCTTTCATTTATTTATTTTTTTTTAAGATTTATTTATTTATTTATACAAGCACTGGGTACAGTCAGAAGCGCAGGAGGGTGAGAGAATTCACCAGAGCCAGAACGGGGAACAGAACAGGCAGGCTGACGAAATACACTGCTGAGGGGAGCAGCGGGTGCGGCAGGAGAAGTCTGTCGCGCCATGTGGGACCCTCCCGGGCGGCCGGGGATCAAACCAGCACTGCAGAGGCTGCGGGCAGCTTCGCAACCCAGCGCTCAACAGTGGCGCCACCTGGGGAGGCCCAACATTTAACTTTTAATATAATTCCATAAGCACACCAAAATATGACCATTCAGTTATTCAGGTCAAATATATTTGAGGGCAGTCATTTAAGTGTATTTTAAACATTTCTTTCCTTTTAGATGTCTGAAAATATGGGAGAAATGATGATAAATACATAGTTTCTACTTCAAATCTGTTCCTATGTTGTAGTTGAAGATGTAAGACATTTAAAAAAGTACATAACTCAATCAGACAAAATTGAGATCAGAAGGGAGATACAGATCCACTATGCTGGAAGTTCCAAATGGGAAGACATCTTACTTAGCTGAAATACATCAGGGAACTTACTGCTTTTGAATATTTTATTTCAAAACTTTAAACTTGAACTGATTTACAAAGGAATATCTTTTAAAGGAAATTGCTTTTCTCTAAACATGTACTAAAAGTAATTGCATGTTGATGTATTGCAGTAATGTTTTAACTAATTAATTATTGGTAGCAACAATTATTATGGCTAAGGATCAGAAAGTCATTAAATCAAATAAGGGGCAGATAA